CGTGACCGTAAATGCGTAAATGCATCTTACCGTCCGTCGGCACGGGTGAGTACTGACGCCACAAATAAAAAATTTTATGAGTTTTATTTTGACAAATCGTCCGTTTTGGCGTCGGGGACAAATCATCTCGTATATTTTCTACATTATAACTCTTGTACTTGCTCTTGGTTACTCGAATTGCATTTCATGAACGTAGAATAATTTGCGAACGTGTAAATCACCGATTTCAAACTTTTTGCATTTCGTAAATTATAATAGTGACCAATCTGTTTGTATTTCAAAAAAATGTAACATGTTTCAATTAAATTAAAAAGAAATAACTTAGTGTGTATTGCAGTTCATGACATAAATGCTAGAATGCTGTATGTAAATGACATGCAAATTAATATGCAAATTTATGCTAATTAGGCCGCCCACCAGCTATTTTGGATTGTGGAGAACACTGGTGTAAAAGTATGCAAGTCAAGTATGTGTGTGTAAAAGTATGCAAGTCAAGTATGTGTGTGAATGTTTGTAAGTCAAGTATGTGTGAAAGTATGCAAGTCAAGTATGTGTGTGAAAGAGTATGCAAGTCAAGTATGAGTGTGTAAAAGTATGCAAGTCAAGTATGTGTGTGGAAGAGTATGCAAGTCAAGTATGTGTATAAAAGTATGCAAGTCAAGTATGTGTGTGTGTAAAAGTATGCAAGTCAAGTATGTGTGTGTAAAAGTATGCAAGTCAAGTATGTGTGTGAATGTTTGTAAGTCAAGTATGTGTGAAAGTATGCAAGTCAAGTATGTGTGTGTAAAAGTATGCAAGTCAAGTATGTGTGTGAAAGAATATTACGTAACTTAATTCGCTACGTTTAATTACCCAGCATAAATTTCGACCAGTCAAAATAACTATTTTGAACTGTAGGCATTAATGTCCGATTCAGATGACCAACTAGAAGGAAGAAAGCACTCCTTAGAGAAGCTCCTCACCTCCCGTGTTGTCACCCCAAAAGTCTACTCGTTCTTGTGGAATTGTCACCTGGATATTCCAGGTTGGAACCCCATAGTAGATTGAATATGTGCGTGGTTCAAGTTTTTTTGCTAAGGCTGACCATGTTTCTGCGTTTGGGCTCACAGCGTGGTCAGTTCGGGTGGCCCAGGGGCTTGAGTGAGAGGAGTGCTGGTATGGGTCCTCCCGTTCATCTACCAGTACCTCAGGTGCTGCATTGGCGAGTGAGAGCAGGGAGCAGTGGATCCAGCCAGGAGATCTGCTCGATCGTGTCGGCTACGACGAGGCTGTGCCCCTCGAGCGTATTGCTCCTATGGGGCCTGTTACGGCTCCCTCTGTGGATCCTTCCTCGCGAGTTACCGGGTTTGCCTCCGAGATTCGGGCTATAGTCGAGTGCCTGTCAGAACAAATTTTGTCCCTTGCAGGTCGGGTAGACAATCTACATAAAGAGCATAACGGTCAGGACTGGACGTTGGTTTTGTCTCTCCTCCACTTCCTGCCAGCCAGGGATCGTCAGTCGAAACCAGTACCAGGGATCTTTCCCAGGCACTGCCTTCTCTACGGGTCACTCCCCCTTCGATGAGTTGTAGGCTTTCTCAGAAGGGACAGACGACACACTGTTCTCCGAAATGATTCCGTGAACCACGCCATGAGGATGATGTGGGAAATCATCGGCCCTAGTGACCCAATGTTCATACCCTCACCATCGTTCCTGAAACAGTTGCTCTTGTCAGGATCCAAGTGTGGGATCCAAGGAAACACCAACTGCATGGCTCCCCTCGTCCGGCTGATTGCTGAATGTGGCAGAGGGTGCACGGTGTTTATGGGCGGGTGTTGGTCCTTTGCAGAAGAGTATAGACACCAGGGTGGGGGTAACCTTATGACGACCCTTTCTGCTTGACCAAGCACTATCCGATATGTACTGTATCAAGTAATGGAGTCTGGAGCCAAACCTCACGCCCCTGATGGGATCCCTCAGGTCCTTCCTCCAACCCAGGTACCACAAACCTTTGTTTGCACAGGACGGGTAAAGGGGGATGGCTGCGTTCCATGGAGTTTCTCAGCATCTTAGTCAGAAACAGTCCACTACGTTCTGAGATCAGAGTTGCGACCCATAAATTGTTTGTGGAGCACACTAGAACATATTACAGTGTGTTTCAAGGACTCAAAGTTTCAGAGGTGGAATGCACCAGCCTACTAGACCACATACACAATTGTTGGCGGTACATCACACGACTATGCGTGATATCCTGCAGTGGCTCTCTTGACAGGGTATACCTCTGTGCAGTGGAATGCCATTTTGACAGCTTGTGTTTCCGCTGATTCACAGGGTGCATCACTGCCTTGCGCCTTACGCAGACTGGATCTCCCCCACTTTCCTTAATGGGGACATGGAGGGTGCAGTCTCAGAGCTTCGTGAAGTCACCGACCAGATGGTACAGGTGGAATCATCGAGCCAGTTGGCTGCTGCCAAAGGCAAGCGGACTGAACCCTTGGAGAGAAGAGAGACCATCCCCCAAAAGAAGGGACCGTGTGGTGGATGTCCCCTAGAA